TTTGTATCGCATTTCTTACCATTCCTCAGGCTGTCCTTAGACTGGTACCAGCTGGCCTAAACAGCCTCCCTCATGTTTGTTGAAACCTTTTTGCTTTGTCTCCGCAGCATTTGTGGAAGACACAAGGTCATTCTTCTCATGAGATAACACTAAAGTCTGTGCAAGGCCCCTTCTGGCTTTGTTTTCAAAGAAATGTTAGCACAGAGGCGATTCTAGGATCAGAGCTTTGAGGGTGCTGAGAACCCAGAGAGCTGCCCAGCCATGCAAGATCATCTTTACTCATCACGATGAGACTTCTTCCCTGTCAGTCCCTGCATCCTTAAATGTCTCCAGTCGTCCCGAGTTCTCTCTGACTGTCTCCTAGGTGCATTTAAACCCCTCCTACTCAATGTCCTCGTCGTCTGTTGTCTTTGTGTCTGTTATCAGTCATCATAATTTTACCATCTCTGTGCAAGTCTGCAATTTTTTTTAAAATTAAATCATAAGATTCTTAAATTCATCAAGTCTCTCTGTGCCTGGGTCCTCGTCACAAAACATCACATCGCTGTTTTGTGCATTTTAACACAATTTCAATCAATCAAAGCTTTATTCGTCACATGCAGGTTGCCCTGCAGTGAAATGGGACCCCCCCCCGACCTTACACATATAGCACAAACATTACATGGGGATACAGGTGGGAGATTGGTAGAATCAGAGAAAAAAAACATTGAAATGTACACTACAATGGGGAAGGTACAAGAGGAAAAAAAGAGACCCCTACTCATGCTATGCTTCCATAGTAGGACAGCATGAGAACAGGAAACAAAAAAACTCCTCTGCACGAAAAAGCACATAAATGTCCACAGCACAACATTGTGAAGACATGACAAGCCACAGTGGTGGGTGGGGGGTGAGGAGTAATCCGAAGCGAACACAGCAGCCGCCCTGCACAGCGCTACCATTCCAGCGCGGCACACAGACCCGCCGTGTTCCCTCGCAGGAAACAAGCATCAAAGGCGTTGGAAAGGGAGGGGGGATGAGTGAGTGCCTATCAGTGTAAGTGTATGTGTGTGCGTGTCCATAGTTCAGCTGAGACAGTGTCCTTCGCCCTATCAGGCTAAGTAAACAGTCCTCCAGCCAATCCAGGTGTCCTTGCATGGGATGGGAAGAATAGCCGTAACACAGTTGTTATCAGGGAGTGATTGTTTGGCTCCAGCCTTGGGCCTGCAGCTGGCGCCGTGATGGGGATCCGCAATGTTCATGTTGATTTTGTTGCGAGCAGCCCAGGAGAATTTTCAGGCTGCCCTAACACCGACACTGGTCTCTCGATCTCCCGTTGGAGAGTCGCGAGCCTCCCCATGATGGTATCAAACTTCTGTTCCATGGTGTTATCATTCTTTTGACTCTGAGACCTCACAACTGCAGTGATCCGTTCCGCGATGTCTTCCAACTGTCGCTCAAGGGTCTCATTTTGAGCAGGCCTCTCTCTGATGTATCCCCCCATACGCTCAATGGTGTTGTTTTGAGCCTTCACAGCAGCTGCAAGCGTCTCCAAGGTGTTGACCATATTAGGTTCGTTGTGAGAGGTTGCGCCTCGTTCCATTGCTTCGATTCCAGCGGGCAGCCTTGGGGGGGTTTGAACAGCCGGTTCCGCTCTCTTCCCCAAATCCCCACATTTGTGAAAGAAAAGCAAAACACTTTTTTGAAAAGTCTGTAACAAAACCATCAAATCTGATAAAGGTTATTTAAATAATCTTAAAAGACTACTATTGCAAAAGAAGAATGGATTGGAATAAAAAAATACATATCCTAATCTTAATTACTGGGGGAGAATAATGAATGATGCTCATAGTGAGTAAGAAGTAAAGTGAGTGCATTTTTTGGACAGAGATTCACTTTTAATGTGTATGTATAATATAATACAGATACATAAAAAATACACTCCAAAAATAGAAGTGTTATGTATGTGTGTGTGTGTCAAAGGGTGACCCTGTGAAAGCTCCCCAGACCTGCTGGCGCCGGGGAGTGCAGCAGTTCACCTAAACAAAAGGTTCTTATATCCAAACAGATACAGATGTGTTTACCATACCACATATCAGAAAGAGAAGGTGCGACCTCTCTCATGACCTTAGAATATGTGTGGTATGCCAGGACACTCTGTGTACCATAAAAGAGGAGTACGTTCACTCTTTTCCAGAGTGTCCTGGCATACCACACATAGTCTTTGCAGACTACTAAGGGTCAGACATTCTATCTGTGAGAGTTGATATTTTTTATATTGTCATTTATGCTTAGATATATATAATCATTTGTATGCTGATAAAAATCATTTTCATTATTAGGTCTGATCAGGTCTGCACTTGTGTACCATGGAGATGAGAGGAAGCGGCCTCGACATTATAATTTCCGTTATAGCTTTAGAAACCAGACTGTTCTGTTCTATAAAAGTGTGAGACTTCACACCTTTAAATGTTCATTTGAGACATGAACTATTGCAAGCTCCTGTTTTTATCGTTTAGCAAGATGCTTACTTCTGCTTTTCTGCATACCTTTTCTCCATACCTCATACACACACATTAAGTTCATTGAAAGGTTGTATGTCTATGTATGGTATGGCTGAAAACACACACATCCCCACACACAGAATACAGATACATTGATGCAGATATGCCTGCTTGAGAATGTCACGTGTATTTGCAATCGCATATTCATGTATGTGACAATTACACATTAAAATATATCAATAATTTTAATCTCCCCAATCAATTATAATGTTATGTTGGAATGTTGTTAAAGAGGGTAAAAAAAAATGTATCAACCCGGTTTGTTTTTCAGATTCCTTATAGCAGCTTTAATATATGGAGAACACAACTTCCTGATTGTATGAGTAAAATTCAGTCTTTTTTTCTTTGTCAGTTTAACAGTTTCTGTTGTGCCTGTCACTGTTCCCTGTCTGTTTTCTTACCTGGTTCTTCCTGACCTTGCCCTTTCTCCTCACGTTCCCCTCTTTCGTCTCTCCCTCTTTGGACTGACAATCATACACAAATAGATTGGATTCAATTAGATGAAAAATTACATTAATATGAAAACAATACTATTAAGATCACTAATAAAAAAAGTCATCTCTCGGTGTACTTTCAACCAAAAGGCAAATAACCAAACCACATGTACACCTAATAAAAGCAATAAATATTGAAACACTGATCCAACATTATTCTTGACTGACGGATCATTTGATCTTACACTTTTACCTGGATGTGGCTCCTTTTTTTTTTTTTTTTTTTGAAAAAACTCCCTTATATCCATTATGAACCTGGCTGTCTCTGTACACAAATACACACACAACAGGAGTTATAAGGCTAATGGGCATCCAGTCAGTTAGCTAGTTAGTACCTTGGGTTTAATATCGTCACATGACAAAATAACCAACGGACTGTAGGGTAGCAAACATCGTCGTAAAAGTCGAAGGAGCTTGGAAAGAAAAGCATCTGGACTTCTTTAAGTTGCTTGAAGACGTTTCACCTCTCATCGGAGAAGCTTCTTCAGTTCTAGGGTCAAATGGTGGAGAGTCCCAGATTTAAACCCTGTGGGAGTAGTCCCTCAAGAGGGACAAAATGGACCCCCTAATGATCCTCTACCTAATCACATGAGCCAAGGTGTGAAAACGGGAGTGGGTCACAATCAGCCAGGGTTTCGGGTGAGCTCATTGTGAAACCTGGCCCCACCCTATCATGTGATTTCTTGATGTCAGATGGCCCAGGGTGTGAGTGGGCATTAAGGCGTCTGGGAAGGGATCTCAAAACTGGATTATAGATGGCAGACAGTTGGTGTCGTAAACCACCGCCTCTGTTCAAAGATGGTCGCTCACAATGGACATAAATGGCATCTTTTACTCCTCTTTCAAACCATCTGTCCTCTCTTTCCAAAATGTGAACATTGGCATCCTCGAAAGAGTGACCTTTGCCCTTTAGATGCAGATAGACTGCTGAGTCTTGTCCCGTGGAGGTGGCTCTTCTATGTTGTGCCATGCGCTTGTGAAGTGGCTGTTAGGTCTCTCCAATGTAGAGGTCTGGGCATTCCTCGCTACAAACTAAACTCAGGAGAGTTTTCTCCAAGCACGACATCCCAGTGTATTACAGACCCAGCAACACACTCAGACAAAAACCAGTTCATCCGAATGACAAAACTCCTGAACACAAACTTAACAATTAGTGTATGCTGTACAGGATGACTGAGAATCTTCACAGACATATCGTCGAAAAAAACGTTTTCAACACTGCAGGTTACCTGGGTGTAATGTTTTTCAGCTAAAAAGAAACATGGTCTGACTTCTACCTATATAAAGAGTAACTGAAGGTTAAATGCAGCTAACATGTCCTGTTTTAAGCTACGCACTCACACATCCGCTCTGCTGCTTCTCGGCCACCATCGCTCTGGCAGAAAGGGCGCTAGAGTCAGTTAGGGGAGAGGTGGGCTGGACCAAACCATTTCTTTTTTGGGGGGGGGGGAATAGCTATACTTTTGTTGTTGAACTATTACGTCTCAACCAAGCACTGTATGGTTTTTATAATTTTAGTAGTGTGTCACACAAATAGCAAACATTCAAACAGTCAAAAAAAAGTAAAAAAAGTTTCAGGTCGATGAAATAATAGAAAGCATAGAAATAAAACAATAGCCAACTGAAAATTGGGTATTAATGTATGTAGGCTCAAAGGGGGGAAAAAAAACAAGAAAGCTAATATAAGTTACAAATAAAGATTTCTCAAAGACTCATATTGAACAAATTGTACATTAATCTTCAGTTTGGGATAATAAAGTCGTTTATTTCCTCAAGCAGCTTGCAAAATATCTCATCCTTTCACTGCTGTTTCTGTCTGTGTGCTGGGAACAGACAGGACAAACAGGACATGTCGGTCTTGTGATAAAAGATTATGACTGGAAGATGAGTTGAATTCAGTCTGAAGGGGTGTGCAGTTATAAGAAAATTCGTTATAAACTGCTGATGCACATAGGTGGATCGAGAATAATGACATGAGGAGAGTTGTGGCACAACTGGTCTTCCACAGCCCTTGAAGCACAGCTACTCCCTCTCTTGGCCAGCTCTCTGAAGACAAGGGTTTTTGAAACAATGCTGTGAAGTCACAAACTTCAAGATACTTCAACGAGGAAACAAGCAGAAGAGCCCTAATTTTCTGACATCAACAGCCTGCAGCAGGATCAGCGTGTCTTTCACTTTTTACCTTTAAAGAATGAACAGATTAGACAAAGCATGGGGGTGAAGCAGGTTAGATGCGATTGCTTGGCGTTCATTATAAAGGTGGGTGTGGCATAGACCACATTACTACCCAGCGGACGGAACATGTGACGCTACGCTGTCTTACTACTACCAGCGTCGTTTGAATCCACGGTTAAAGCTCACTGCAGCTGCGAGACCCTCCAGCTCCACAGGTAAGCACCCAACCTAACTGCTTCAGCATACTGCGGTATTAGACACCACGGAGAAACTTTGTTATCCAGAAAGTAGCGGCTCCGCGTTTGTTTAATGTTCCTGCTCAAGTTTAATTAGTTCATTAGTTAAAACGGACTTTTTTTTTAGTCAACTCTGAGACAAGTCACAGCAACAAATCCTCTGATATTTTGTGCAATATGTGGACCTTTGTTTTGCGTCGTGTCCAGGACGGCAGGAAGCTGCTTTAACAGACTGACATGCAGCGCCACCCGATGGTGACAGTGTAATTGCAGCTGCATTTCCTCCCATCTTTCTTTCAGCTTTATTTCAAGGAGTTTTACAAAACTTCTGAATTTAGAATAATTTCGAGTTTTATACACAGTCACCCTCTCAATTTTTAGAGGCTCAAAAGTAACCGTACTAACTCAAATAAGGATTGTTTTTAATACTTGGATGAAACTCTTGTGTTTGATGTTTTTAACCCATGGGCATCATCAGGTGCTTTACTGCAGCCACCTTCAGTTACTTGGTTGAGATCAGTTGACTTGTGTGGAGTTATGTTATATTATATGTGATAGTATTAGCTTGCTGGGTTATATAGAGTAATAATATTATCTAGCTGCATTGTAGTATGTATTATCTTAGGGTCAGGCCTTTGTGCAAAGACAGCCTTCTGTGTGAAGCTGTAGGAGAAAAATAGTCAGAGAGAGAAAACAGCATTTACAGGAAATGGTGCAGAAAAAGCATCACTAACAGCTGTCTAACACATCTGGATAAGTATAGAGTGGAAAGCAGAACTAGGTAGCGAAGCTTAAGGTGCCTAAAGAGTTCATTTAAAAGCCACCTGCATAGGTAAGAAATGAGGGCACGTGCAGGGAAGCAGAAGTTGGGGAGGAGAACCACGCAAGGAGGTGTTTTTATTGAAACTGCGCATGAATAATTTGGACAACAATACAGAGTACTAAGCATACAGGAAAAGCAGGTGTGAAAGGAGGAAATCTGGTAAGAAATACTATATCTGTAACAGACTGAGGGCGCACCCATCGGCTCTGCAGGAGGTTTCGCGCTGTGCGCATCTCCCAGGTACATGGTGAATAAAGAATTGTTGGATTGAAGCGTTCTGTCTCGAGTTGTTTCTTTTACCAGGTCAGAATCCAAAAATCAGGGAGGGACAATCGGTCCGACACTTGCCTTAGCTGTGTTAGCTGTTTCTTTGTTTTGAAAAGCTCAGGTTGCTTTTGCAGCGTGCTTGGGGTCATTATTTATTAGGACTGTGAAGCGTGGTCCACATTTAGCAGCATCTGAGCAGAAAGTGTAGCCCGTGAGCTGTTTCTCCTGTGAGCATCTGAAAAGTGTGGACTAGAGTTTGGCTACCGTCAAACTGAAAACGAGCTGAATTTCTTTTCAGTGAAAGAGTCAAAACTTGTTTAAACTTTCATGCTTTAATTTCAGTTGTGAATAACATGTAGGTTTATAACATTGCATTTTTATTTATATTTTACTAATAAAAAAAACTCGTTTATTTACAGCATCCAGAGTTTGTTTTTTTTAATTGGGTTTGTAATTTGTTCCCATTCCCTTAGTTGAATCTATAAAAATGCCAACGATAACACACCGCGATTGACAAAAATTGTATTTTTGTACCAACAAGGAGATTCCCAAAGAGCGATTAGCCAACACACACAGTATGAGAATCCCCCTCCCTACCAGGAGACATCTCCCGTGTCTCTACCATAACTCTGCATGAGGTGAACAAACCAGCATTGCTTTGAAACTTAAGCTCCATCTTGGGTTTTCAGGTGGTGTTTTTCTACAGTTGCAGCATGCAGCCAGGTAAGTCATGCCTTCTACTAACTGTATGTAAGCTTGCTGCATATAGCCCATTCTCTTTCTGTAATTCCTCCATTTGTAGGTGTTTTAAGAAGAAGCCAGCTGCTGGATTCTCTGAAGGCGTACCTGAGCAACAAGGAGAGACTACAACCCATAATAGGTGTGCCGCAGCAAATCCCACTTTTAGTGTGTAAACGGTTCTTTATTCAGTGTGTGCTGAAGTAATATGTGTTTTTAATGTGCACTTAGGCTTGGGCTGCATTACAGAATGTGTGAAGGCTGGTGCGTGGAGCACAGAAGCGCTGTACGTGTGTGGGGCGTGCGTGTGTCGCCTCAGTAAGGCTGACATGCGTAACCACATACTGGGAAGTCTCCACAGATTCAACTACATTGTAAGTAGTACTGGAGAAGGATTGGTGACAGCAGATCATGTGCTGCGTTGGATTTTACTAACAGATTATGGTTTGTTTGTTTTTAAAAGAAAACCTGGCACCCTCACTTGGTATCAAAATGGCAGGAGAGCTCCGACCTGTCCAAGCTGGCGTGGCCGCTGATGGAGATGGCCAAGAAGCTTGAGGAAAAAGAGGGACCGGGAGACATCCAGGTCTGTTGCTTTTATTGTGCGTGCTTTCTTGTAGTCATAAACTGCAAATTATTGTGGATGCTCATATGTTTTTGCACCTTCATACGAAGTTGTTAGAGGTTGAAGATGGTGTATACCAGAGGATGGAAACATCCAGTGAAAATGATGGTCAGTGAATGTTTGACTGTTCTTTCCCCATCTCACTGTCTTCTCTTGATTACTCTCACTTTTTATGTTTTTGGCAATTTTTCTGCATGCACGTGATTATTTTTCCCTTCATAAGTATCTTTTCATCTCTCTGATACTGCAGCAGTAACTCTCATAGGTTCCTTAAGAGATGCACAGGGTGAAACTGAGAGTTATCCAGAGACTACAGCTTTGCACTATCCCACTGAATCCCAGAGGACTGTAGTGTTTGCACAGAACCAGCCCACACGGTCCAAGAAATCCTTCAAGGCTGACACAAACTCAGGCAAGATCTCAGCGCACACTAACAAGCCAGCACCGCAGCTGATGCATGCAAACTTTGATCCTTCTGTTAAGTCAGAGGTCTACTTAGTCAACCCGTTCACATCCCAGTTGGATTCTCCCGAACCCTTTGTGTTTTCAGAGCACACCAGCAGCTTTCCTGATGACTACACTGGAACCAAGACTCTCATAGGTGAGAACACACAAAGACTGGCACCAAAAGAGTTAAAAAAAACAAAAAATAATAATAAAAAAAGGCCTTGAAGTTGCACGGTTGTGGCGGACTGCAAACTCTTTCATGTGCCTCTCCAGTAAAGTTTCTCATCTCACAGTCCAACTCCAGTCTCGAACCACAGCTGGTGATCGTAATTCCCATGAAATGGAAATGTTCTTTATTTTTTTGTTTCTCATGTTTTCAACAGGTCTCGACTGTGTGGTCGAGTATAGAAGTGAAGATGGCTGCTCTTACTGTTTCTTATGCCACTGCTGCCGCATCAAATCCAACAAGAAGGACATCACTGAACACCTGACCAGCCCCTCACACCTCATCAACTACTTGGTCTGTTTGTTCTGGATCAGTTACCAGAATAGATTATAGCAAAGGTTCTTTAGTATTATGCATGCAAAAAGCGAGGTAAGTATAGTTTAAAGTTAGTGAATATAATTTTTTATAGATGGAAACTCATCCTGAGGAGGTGACTGCGGAGCTTAAAGACAAACCTCACCTTCTTCAGTCTTTGGCAAAGAAAGTGGAGCGAGAAACGGGGCGAGGAGAGTTGAAGGTATCCCTTTTTCTTTGCAGCACAGAATTTCCTGCTGGGATTCTGCCACATGTGACGTGACTCTCAGTGTCTTTTCCCCCAAACAGTGTTGGTTTCACCTGTACTCGTCTGTCCTTTAGTTTATAAACCTCTCATGTTCTCAGGTAGTGCATGTTCCAGAAAACCTTTGTGCGCTACTCACTGGCAAAAGTTACCACTGGTGTAAGTATGGGTTATTTTTCTTTTGCTTGGCCATAAACCATTCACTTCATTTTCTACATCTCTGCTCTTGTAAGTATAACATTTACCTGCCTCCTTTTTTCTTTTTTTTTTTTTTTTGACAGCAGGTCTGTGATAGATCAAACCACTGCAAAAAACAGGCTTTTTTTTTCCTGACGTGTCATTATTGAAACATTCAGTTAAAAAGCAGGACAAAATAGACCTATCGTAGAGTTGTTCTACAGGCACAGACACAGGTACCCACTCAGTGATTTGTTGAAAGTGTTATACTCTAAATACAGTTGTGGTCAGAAATCTTTTTTAAGGAGAAAAAAAAAAAAGAGAGAAGAAGGTTACATCCAGTCATCCTGGGCATGAATATCATGGCATTTCTGGGCTTTTAATGATTTCTTTGAACTGTTCTTTTTCCAGGGTGAAGTGATTGATTCTTTGAGTTCATTTAAATCTGTTTGTTTCCTGGCACAGAACCAGCTTTAAGTGTAGTCCACAAATTTACAAATTAGTTGAGGTCGGGACTTCGGGAAGGCCATTCCAGCAGCTTAATATTAGCCTGCTTTATCCATCCCCAAAACCAATTTTTATTAACTTTTTGAACCATTATATTATTGGCACATCTGTGTTCAATTTGAACCATCGAGCTGTTAATTTGAGGTGAAGTTGAAATATGTGCTACCACCACAATACTTGAAAGTTGGTGCCATGCTCTCAGGTTTGAAAACCTCACCTTCATAGCTGCAAACAGCTCGATCTTTCTGACCATAAAACGCTTTGGTTTTATGTTCAGCTTGACGGTGTCAATTTTTGGAGCACAGGTTTCTTTCTTGCAGTATAAACCTGTGGACCGTGAATGTGTTCCTGGGTCATTCCTGAACATCCCAACCAATTTAAAAATGTCAAAAGACATTGTGGAACCTTTACCACCACTTATTTAAAAATGTAAGCGAGTGTATGTATATTTATACAACTGTATACTTATGTGTACAGTTATGCTATAACTGGATTTTTACAGAGAAGTGTAACTTTTATGCCGTCTGAATTTTGCCTGGATCACGTTTTGTCAGTGCATCTTTGGCACTCACCATGCAGAGTGTGTCCTTTGTTCAGTGCAGTTTCCCACTTGTCAGGGATGTCGGCTCTCTAGATTTTCTTGTATTCATTAATGCCCACTTGAATTTTTTTTTTTTTTTTCCCCCCCACCCAGTGTTCCTTGCATTTCTTTATTTTATTTTATTTTTGTATGCCACTGTATTGTTTTGGATATTTTCCAGGCATAAAGATGCTGCAATCTGGATGGAAAGGTGCTGACATTAAAAAAAAGGAAGTGGATGCCAAAGGTTTGTATCTTTGCAAGCTAGAGTTCACACTTTCTCAGCAAACTGCTTTTAACTTATTCCTTTTCTTTATGTCTAAGGGCTGAGCATGAACCAGACATCCGCTGAAGGCATGTCAGAGAAATGCACTTTAATGAAGTCAAAGAGGAAGAAAAGAGTAAAAGCAAAGAGAGAGACTGTTTTTAATGTCAGCCTGCCTATTACCAAAGGTTTATTACTGATGAAGAGGATGTCTTTCAGCAGCAAAAGCCTCCCTCCATCAGCTACATCCCCTCCCTTTAATTTAGATCTCACGTCCTCCCCGGGGTCAGAGATTGTGGAGTTAGACTGTGATGGTTTGTCATCTGAACTAAACCATGCAGAAACCTCTCCACTACAGCACAGCCCCTGTGATGGAGGTCCAGAGACTGGTGGGTACACGCCAGAAGGAAACTTTACAATATTAGCTGTGCCATCTTCCTCTAACTCTTCCTACGGACATAGGGAGTGTTGGACCGAGGAGGGGTATAAGCCAGCTGCAGAGGATAAGAATGGAACAAGAGAGCAGGGTTTGAGAGAAGAGGCACGCATAGACGCTGGTCCACATTATTACCAACAACACTTTCAGAATCCGCACATGCCGTGCGATAATGCAAGTCTTCAGACGGGCAGTGTAAGTGGGTATTACGATGTATGGGGTCATCTGGGTCCTTATATAAATAGTGCTGGTGTGAACATGCTAACTCAATCAGTAGATCCCTGTGTGTACAGCGGCAGCATTGCACACTACACAGCGCTCACCAATGACTGTGCCCAGGCAGCTCCACACAATTATGGGATACCGACTACATCTTATGAAGCCAGTCAAGGACCGCGTGGGTGGATGTCTTACCCCAGCTACAACACTGGCTCTCTGGCAAACCCTGGCCAGCACTTTCTCCCTCCAGTCTGCAGTAGTGTTACGGACTGGAGTCTAACACACTCTTATGCCTTCAGCCAACCTTCTAAACCTCAGTGTGCTGCGTCCCAAACTGATCTGTATTTCAGCTGAATCAAATCACATTTGGATGGTCCAGCGGGGGATTTACTTGCAATGTGACTTTTTTTTTTTTTTTATATTCTTTATTTTTTTATTATAGTTCTGCTGATTTCTGTAATGAATGTGAGCCTGCTGATGGAGGTGCAGTAATATAAGCAGTGTCGGGTTTTTTTGTTTTTTTTTTGTTTTTTGTTTTTTTTGTCTGCTGGGACTTTTAGGTTTAAACTTTGTGGAGACTGAAAGTCAAAGAGCACCAATGAGGTGAAACAGCACTCCTTATCCACTAATCCAGTCGTTATAAGAGAAGTAGAAGAATTGAAGATACTGAGCATTTAAATAGAACTCACTCGTGTATTTCCAAGTTCACATTCAGTGAAGGCTGAGAAACGTGCCCGTAAACACTAAACAGCTGCCTGTGTGTATATTTTTATTCTTTTATTGTGTTTGTTATGAAGTTGTTCAAACTGGCTATTTGTTTTCTGTTTTTGACCGTTACAGCAGTGTTTTTTTTTTTGTTTTGTTTTTTTTGTTTTTTTTGTTTTGTTTTGTTCTTAAATCTACATTTATGCCTTTTTAACTCCAGAAAACAAGACAAATGTGTGAAACATCACATTAGGTTTAAGTGGATTCACTGTATTTTTTTAGGAGAAATATTGAGATATGTTTGACTGCTTTTATGAAATTAAAAAACAGTTTTTTAAAACAGTTCTGACCCGTGTGGCTGAATTTTTATTTTATTTTTTTTTGCACCAGTAGAGTTTGAACTTTAACCAATTATGTGACCAAATATCGTTTTCCTTGCAGGTTCAAACAAAAGAGTTTGTTATTTTTCCTTTCAAGCAGTCACGGTAGGTTATGTAATGTGGCGTAATACTCACAAGCTTGCTCAAATTCAGCGAGGAAACACAAACTTTGTCCACTCAGCGATTAATGCAGATCACTGTAAAAAGCCAGTCTTACTGTAAATATTAAAACACGTTAATGGTTCTGTGTTTGCTTTGGAGTAAGTTTGACTCTGTAGTACGCCCATTATTCAATACCTTGCAGAACCATGTTTATCAGCAATAACGTAGTGGCTTTCTGTGCAAGCTCATCTTTTCAGTTCTGAGGTCTTGTGGTGCAACTTTGCAAACCTAAGCTGTGCTGCCGTGTTCTTTTCTCCTGGCGACCATTTCAAACAAGCCACATTTGTTCAGTCTTTTTGAAATTGTATCTTTTCTTTGCAGCAACACTGGACACAAATCTTTTGGGGCTCTTTACTGCTGGATTGATTGTGGCATTGTGTTAACACAGATCAGTTGCCTACCAGTAAATTGCCAAAACCTCTGCTTATATAGAGGTGCTCACACTTGCTGATGATCAGTTAATCAAGTGCATTTGATTAGCAGCACCTGGCTCCTATGGAAACAGCATGTACTACATTTGTGAGCTATCTATGAATGTGAATCACACTTCCAGTAAATCCAGGTAGTGCTAGATAGTAACTAATTTCTATATGCACAGAATATTTATTATGAACAGTGAATACATCAAAAAATACATTATATTAATGTTTATGCAGATGCATGTAAACTTTGGGCAATAGATTGGAACAGGAACAACACAATATCATGTACTCAACTTTAAAATATCTGCATATGATTGATTGTACAACAGAGGTGGTCACGAAGAAAATAAACACAGGTTGATATCACTGCAGTGGCCTCCTAAGAAATGTAGGAGGAATAAGAGGCAGAAGTAAAAGTTGAGAGGAGGAGGACATCATGAATCTTAGACTGTATAAATATATGCAATACTCGTCAGTCTGGATAGTAAAGAAATTTGTGGAATTACATGTTTCTGATGTCCAATATATTAACAATAGAGATTGATATTTAAATTAGCATTTCAGAAAAATGAATTACTATCTAATGGTAGATGAATATTGCAGATTTTTTGTATTTAACTTCAGATTTTAAGCATATTAACGTTGGTTAGCGTAATAACCAATGCGACCCGCACTCCAGTCCGGAAGGTGGCGCTAAGGTAACCAAAAGTTTTATCCCCAGCTGCCATTAAGATAAGGAGGAAGAAGCAGTCCCAAGCACAGGCAACCGAGCAGTCACAGAGAGGACGGAGATAGCTAGTCAGTATTACCAGCCATCCTTTTGTGTAGCAGAGTCAGGTTGCGACATTTAGTTTGGATGGCTGAAACTCCTGCAAAGACCCTGTGACCGGCTAGCGTGCTGTAGTCCACACATTTGGGAGAAACCTTACAGCAGCCTCTCCCAGCGTCTAGCCTCGCACTCCCTCCCCTAATCTCGCCGAGATGTCAGCTTTCTCCGAGGCGGCTTTAGAGAAGAAACTGTCCGAGCTTAGCAACTCTCAGCAAAGTGTACAGACACTGTCGCTGTGGCTCATCCACCACAGAAAACACTCGAAGACCATTGTCAACGTTTGGTTCAACGAACTGAAAAAAGGTAAGGCTGGTGAGAGCCGAGGAGTTCCTCCAAACAAACACAGCGAGCATGCTTCAGAGAGTGAGTAACATGTAGCTGCAGGCTAGCTCTGGCTAAAACTGCCAGACCAAACTGCTGTTAAAGTTAAAACACAGAGTCCCTGTTAGCACGGTGGCTGCTAAAGGCTGGCAACTTTCGGTCACTAGCCAAAGGTTTTCACTGCTTTGTCTAAGTAGCATTGTCGAAAAGTGACGACAACGTGTGTTCCCTTAAATGTGTTTGTGTTAGAAAATCTCCATAATCTCCCATCTTTGCTTATAGTAAGTCTCGATCAGTTAAAGCTGCACTAAATTAAACTTTATAACACCTGAGGGAATAGCTTTAAATTAAACCCACATCAACAGTTACAATGAGCTTTACTATAAAGCATAAAGGAAGCCACTTATGCTCATTTCTTTTCTCTGCTACAGTAGCTTTGCGTGATTAACTCATCAAAATAATCCTATACTAACCCTTGATAAATCACCGCAATTCATACACAGTATAGCTTTGCTTTAAGCCAGCTTTCTTCTGATAGGCTACTCCGCACAAACAAAAGGTTTGACTAGCACGTGGGTGGAGATTGTGCTCACAGCCAGAGCCGTTTGCTTGAGATGACCACATACAAGACGCACTCACTCTCCTCTAATCATCACTGCACCACCTAATAAAAGTGAAATGCCCTAAATAATAATATTTTTAAAAAATGCATAGTTGCAATGGTGCATATATTATATAAGGAGAAGCATAAGTAAATGTGTCGATGTTAAACGAACCACATGACATTGTTTTAATTAAACATATGTAACAGTTTTAAGAGTAAGTGCATATTTATTCTTTAATTGCATTGCTTTGCTTTTTTTGGCTCATTTAGCTGTGTCAATCATTTCACTGGAGAAAGACTATTGAACATTGTTGTGTGATAAAATATAAGCAATGACTGGTGGATCTAACTTTTTTCTGATTTTCATAGTATCTGATGACTGTCAATGATTTTTTTTTTTTTTTTTTTTTTTTATAAGAAAATGTTCACAAAGTTTATTAAGTAGACGGTACATAATGGAGTTGTTGAATTTATTCAGTGAGTTGGGTTGTAGGGACATCAGGCATTACTGTAATTGTAGCTAATAATGGTGCATTTTTCCTCGGGGTGCTAGTCAACAACCTAATGATACCTCTTGTGGGTGAGGTATTTTGGGTGGTGACTGAGACCAGTGTTAATGGCAAGTGGGGATAGAAATGGCTCTCCACGGAGCTTTACACTCACCTCAGTGTCGACTGTGTCTCGTCCAACAACAACAAAGGCTTGTGCATCAGTTAGTTTATCATAAAAACAACAAACCGAGAAGGGGTGTAAGTATCCTTCACTGGAACTCAATCGGGCACTCGGCTTCTCCAGAACAAAGTCAGGCAAGAGCCAGTGCTCTATTGTTAAAAATAGTAAGAAGAATCAGCTTTTGTTTTTGATCTCTTTGATGCCTTCAAAATCCTGGGGCATACAAATCTGAACATGCATTTTTGTCAGATTGCTTCTTCATATCGTGCACTAAACTTGTGAAATAATATCCACAGATTAAATCTTTTTTTTTTTTTAATTATTCTTTCTGCAGGGCCACCTTGTTCTGCATCATGCAGCTGATGTGACTGCACAGTTCGCCTGTGCATCTGGTGCATTGCTCATATTAAATTAGCAAAGGTCATAGCCCTGCTTATAGTGAAGCATAACGAGTATCTTGAATTTTTTAAACGTGGCTTTGCATATTAAAGATAAGATGACCTTTATTAGTCCCACATGTGGGAAATTTGTTTTGTTACAGCAGAAAGTGGACAGTGCAAAGTTATATAGCAAAAATTAGAGAACACTGGAATAGAATAAGAATAAGATGCTGTACACAACTGTATAGAATAAAATACTATATACAATAATAAAAAACTGTTGAAGATTTAAATCGGCTCTATTTCATTTTTTGTATGTCATGACTTTTGTTTTTTGTTTTTAGTTCTTTAGTGGTTAAAATGCGCTTGCCCATTAATAGGCATTGTTGTGTTGTACCTTTTTGTAAATCATAATCAGATAGTATGTGTGTTTCTTTGTTTTTTTCAAACATGTGCAGCTCAGGTATCGCGCAAGCTGACCTTCCTGTATTTGGCCAATGACGTCATCCAAAACAGCAAGAGAAAAGGACCAGAGTTCACCCAGGACTTTGCTCCAGTCATCGTTGATGCATTCAAACATGTGTACAGGTCAGTTTTTATTGGACAAAGGCATGGATGGTTGTCCTGATGTCAACTTTCTCATTTTGTCATCATTTTGGATTTTAAATGTATGAAATTTAAGTAACATTTTAGAACTGGTTGAGGGTGGCAGCCATAAGTAGGCTTGATGAGAAGACGTGTATAAACACACACATACTGTATGTTCTAGGGATGCACACACTGATGTATTATGAGCTGATTACAATGTTTAAAATGACATTTTGGCCATCAGCTGTCCATCTTTGAACTTATTTCCATTAAAGAAAATGTGACAGAAGTGGCCAGTTGGCCTGTGGCGGTAAATGAGGTGCATCCCTAATATTTTCCCATTTAAAGAATTTCTATCCAAGAACTGATTTTTTTTTTTTTTTTTTTTTTTTAAATTCAATTTTGTCCAGTCCTGACTTCAGGTTTGCAAAGCTGTTTAAAGCGTGTGTTCTTTCTTTCTTTCTTTTCTTTCCTGTGTGTTCCCGTGCAGAGATGGTGAGGAGGGCTGTAAGAAACAGCTGGGTCGGGTTTTATCCATCTGGCAGGAGAGAGCCGTGTATGAGAATAACCTGCTCGATCAGCTCTCGCAAGTCCTGTGTAAGTTCAACGAGCCAAAACCTGTACCAGCTTGTCAGTAGTGCTTACCATTCAATTATAGCAAGTGTGCTGTGTGCCTAGAGGTTTAAACTTGATAAGCATAGTTATATTATTTACTTGCACTATTTTGCAAATGTTTGCTTTATTTCTAAACATGCAGCTAATCAGGCTTGTGGCTTTAAAGTGGCTAAAGATGTAGTATAATACATAAAACGCACACCTTCAAACTGGACTTTTGACTTGTTATGTTTTGCTTTTCTTGCTTTTTATAAATCTTAGATGGAGAAAAGAAGACAAAGAAGAGGTCATATGAGGAGATCCAGCCAGATGATGAAGGCTTTGCCTCCCAGAGCTCTCCAACCGAGCCCCCACAGGTGCTGTCCTTGTTATACAGAGCAGTTATAAATACAGAGTGCTAATCATATAACACTTTGATCCACACACATGCTAGTTAATGATTTACAGCTGTCTGTGTTTTCATGTTTGCCTTTGTGTCTCCTCCTGAGTGTAAATACCTTCTTCTGCTCCCCCCTCACCTCTTGCCTTTATCATGCTCGCTATACCTCAGACGGCAGAGTTAATCCGAGCTCTGCAGGAGCTGGAGAACGCTGCTTCTGGCGACTCAGTGCTGCGTCAGCGCATCTCCTCCCTTCCTGCTGAGGTGCAGGACACGTCACTGCTTCACAGGATCACAGGTAAGGAAGCTCTGCGCACTTTATACCAAACTTTAGACAGAACATGTGTTGTTTAGACTGAGAAAATGTTGTTGAACCACTCTGATATACTGCACATTACAGAAAACACTTAACATCTAGATTCCTGTGAAAAATTAAGTATACTCTTAGTGCTTCCACAGGAATTAACTGATCATTAGCAAGCGTGAGGACCTCTATAAAAGGAAAGGAGGAAAAACATCAACAATGATCTTAGAACAGTTGTTCTAAGCAAATGTTCCTGGCCAGCAATCTGGGAATTAAGGCCATTTCCTGTTTGAAGTTGTCATGCCCTTTTTCTGCTGGGAGACAATCTAGCAGTTCTCACTATTTTATTATCAGGCAGTTAAAGATTTGGCTTGCTTAGTTAGCTGTGCACTCTAACTGTCCACCAACTAAAGCCTGTCTAAAATCGGATCATGCAAGAGGATGATGATTTCAAACACTGCAGCAAATTTTAAAACGGAGAGGCTGAATAAGATTCAAGGTGTTGCAGTCCAGTCCAGACATGAACCTGACTGAACTGCTGCGGTGGGACCCTCAGAGAGCTGTGTATAAACAATTGCCTCAAGTCTTAATGAACTAAAACAACAACGTAAAGACGATTGGGCCAATATACCTCCAGACAAAATGAGAGACTGATAAAGTCTTAAAAGAAATGCTTACTTTACTCTTTTCCCATTGAAAGCCTCTTAGGAGTAAGCTTTGAGGCTCTTTTCTGAACTGAGTGGTTTGGTTTCTTTCATACTTCAGACCAACTTGCACAACAAAATGACCGGGTGTGCATCAGAAGTAGTGATTGTGGACTCTGTCCGTTGGAATAACCTGAAAACTATTCTAATGTTAATCAAAACCGCATCTTTGTTGATATAAACTTTTGAATCATGGGGTGTATTTAGTTTTGTCACGACTGTATTTCAGAGGAAATAAGGTGTGCACAAACAAGGGAGAGTCGAGACAAAAACATGGGATATGCAGTCGCCTGGACGTCCTTGTTGGGCCAAACAAACACTCACTTCTGCAGCTGACGTTCTTTCGCTCTGAAGGATACCTGCAGGCTTATTTATGGGAGAGAGGGGATGGCTCTGAAAGATATTGACCTTATGACAAAGAGAGATCATTTACATGAATGTGTAGCACACAGCACTCACTACAGATTTGATTACATGACACATGATTGTTTGTGTGTTTGAGTCTCCCTCGTATCTGTCTGACAATGCCCTTGCCTTTACCTCAGCAGAAACAAATTGAAGGTTTGATTTGGCACTGATTATACAGATGCTGTTTACATTGTTCCAGGATTGATGCATAACTGAGTGACGTGCATTTAGGCTTTGTTCTCTGCTCTCTCTGTGCTTTCTGTGCTTTAGATAAAGAATCAGGAGAGCGACTTTCTCGGCTGGTGGAGGAGGCCTGCATGCTGCTAGCAGACTACAGCGGCCGCTTGGCGGCAGAGATTGACGACAGGAGGCAGCTCACGCGTACACTAACTGTCTTCCTGCAGAGCCAGAAGGATGGCCTGGCCCAGAATGAGCAGAAACTTGAAGTGCGTGAATAAGTTTTTCTCTGTTATATGTCTGTGTGCGTCCTGTCTGCCTCACCTCTCCTTGGTGTTCATCTTTTTGTGCTGTGTGGACAAATTACGTTTGAGCACAAATTTCTATAAGTATTTTTACAAGTTTCTCAGCATGCTGCACGCTTTCTGTCATGCTTTTTTTTTTATTTTTTTTTTTTTTTATAAAGCTACCCTGCATGTTTTTAGTGTTAGCCCTGCTGATGTGCAAACTGAGGGGAAGCCTCTCGATTAGATACAGACTTAATGTCTAAGTTATCTTTTCCCTCGTCACTGGCTTTCTCTTTGAGCCTTTTTCTTTCTGCTCACTTCACTCAGTGTGTCCTGCCTATGAGGTAAGTAGTAATCAAAATGAACCCGTTAGAGCTTTAAAAATGTAACCACTGAGTTTTCTTGTTTGCTCAAAGCTGTGCTTTTCACGTTGACGGTAATTGTTCAGATCTTATCTACAGGGCACCACAAGGATCCCACGTCTCATCTTTGTATCGTCACTCAGTCAATACCTTTTGTTTAAAAAAAAAGAAAAGAAAAAGTCTGAAAATAAAAAGTGAAAATGATTTTGTGAGTCCTTTTTTTGTGCTCTAACACCTACAGTTTACCCTCTTATTCAGGTTTGAAGGTGGTTTATGAAACGTACTTTTGGTTGTGGAGTTGACAGTAAATGGCAGTTATATACTTTAGGATTTTCTGATTAGTGGGAGATGTAGATCAGATATTTATCATAATCATTGTCATGATTAATAAACATAAATTAATGAGATTCAAATTTGATTAAAATCTTGTTCATTTATCTTTCTTGGTACTTTTGCTTTATGCTTTCTGAAGAGATTTATGTCATTTGCAACACGATGGGACACAAAGAGAACATAGTTTGTTTTTTTTCTTTTCCTCTCCCCTTCCCTCATTTGGACATTTCTGTTATCTATGCTGGAAAAGTACTGATGACCTACACACACTGCATGCATTGGCTGGCAGATATAGTCACTGAACACATTTGAGAAACATGGCACAGAAAGTAAAATGTGACAAGATTAAGGTGGGAAAAAAACATCAAATACATGGATCAGGTGAAATCATTTTGTCCACATGCAGTCCTGTTTTCAGTACCTTACACTGCACTTTGCATGCAGTTTGTGTGGCCAGTCTTTTATTAGGGGAAAAAAAAAGCTGTTGCAAAGGTAAATGTTTTTTGGTGCCCTTTAGTGTGGCTCATTACAGTGGAGGTTGATCTAAGTCGAGCAAAGTCATTCATAAACATGGAGAGAAAGAGCGTGGCATTTTTGCTGAATGATTTGGGTGTTTGGATAAAACTAAAACACCCTGACACACTGTTTAGTGGTGGCCACTAATTAAAATACATGAAACATGTTTATTGGAAATCCTTGAATTTAAATCTGAACTTTAACTGGAGCTTTAAGCTGCTCTTGGTCTGTAATCCATGAAGCGCACATTCAACACTTCAGTTTCTTATATTACATTATAATTTAAAATTACAATATGTGTGTGTATTTATCTCATGTAATACTGCTACTGAGACTAGGGGGAAAAAAAACCAACACCATAAATCGGTGTGATTCAGACTGCAGGATCTTTGGCGTCTGATGGCTGTCTGTCATTGTGGACTTTTTCAGGAATACAAACGCAAACTGGCGAGGGTCACCCAGGTTCGAAAGGAGCTGCGATCACGTCTGAACAATCTCCCAGAAGGACACTACAACTCTTCGAACTGACGCGCTACTGACGCATCTGATCAGACGCCTGTTTAATATTTGATCTGTGACCTTGCCATAGTCCTCTGTTCCTGACTTTGGGGTGTATCTTTGTCTCTGTGCAGTAATCTGTGGTTCTCATTCTGTCTACAGCCAATTATTTATCCACGTGGGTTTATGAACATAAACATCTTATTATCATTTAGAAGATTTAAAATCATCCCGACACAGGCCTGTTGTGCTTTGGCCCCAGCTGCCTAACTTTCCAGCTTTCCAGTTGTATGGATGAATCTGGTGTGATATTTTTTTATTTATACTGATTAAGATAATGCATCAGAGTACATTGCTCTAGTGTGATCATTCATTTTAATTTGCTGTATTCTGCTGGCATTACGTTCCCTTTAACTGTCTTAAGTTAAGGGTTATAGATCCTTGTTTGTAATAATAGCCTCAAATGTCTGAAACTGAGTAGGAAGCCATGTTCCTTAAAGCAAACCCAAGTGTGTATTTATGATTTACTGTTTGTGAAAGGGGAATGTAAACCATTGGTCAGTGTACATATTGTAGTTTGCATGTAAATATGGAGTTGTGCCTGCTCCTTGTCATAAGTGCTTTTGGTTTGTAATTGTGTCAACATGGTGAAGAAAATGTTGCTCATTCAAATTAATGAGCTATGTCAGATATCCACAGTACGGAAAGGGTGAGATAATGGGTTTTGTTGTCTTGTTTACTGTATCGCTCCATAGTTTTATCTTGGAAGTCTCCTGAATGCTGTGCAGATGCCTCACACAGCTTGAGAAGTGCCCCGGTTTCCAAAGCCAGACTTAAAAGGAAAAGGAAAAAAACAAGCTGTTTTTGTAAATATGAAGCAAATGCTTAGAACCAAATAAACAAAGTGCACAAATGTTTTATCGTCTTATCTGCAGTATGTGCTATTGAGTGCAATTAAATATGTGAACACCAGGGGGAGTTCCTTTTTTACGCCTCTGTGGCGACAGCCTCGGTCACGTGGGTTTCTTAGAGCGAGCGTCCGCCCATCAACCAGGAAGACGAAGCTATTTTTCCCCTGGTTTCTTAATAATACAATAGCTGTGTAAACATTTGTTGGATATGATACAAAGTATTTAATATAGAAAACAAAAGAAACAAAACACGCCAATTCGCTAGTGTTACAACAATAACGCTTGCTGATCACAACAGTTAACTAGCTTGGTTCAGGCGATTTAGCTAGTAAACAGTCGCTAAGCAGGTAGCTTTACCTCTAGAGGGTACGGCCACTGATTAAAGTTCATGATGGATAACTTCGAAACGCCATATGAGGAGGAGGATATCGCGTTTATTGAATGCGAGGTAAGCATGCTAACGTTAGCTGAGAGACGTAATAATTTGGCGAAAGCGAGGTTCCCGGAAAAAAGGAAGCGTGCCGCGAGCAAAGCTAACGTTTTTAGCTAGCCTCTGGAGGTATATGACATCGGACGTGAATTAGTCCTGCTCTTTTTGACCTGTTCGGGTCAAATTCCATCAATTTTTACGTTTGACTGCAGTGATTCAGCATGTGATTCTTTTAGCTTGAAAATGTCATGACTTTTCATGAAGTGAGGCAAAAGTAAAATTAAAATTTGAATGGATCTGGGTCGCGTATTTACTCAGAAGGATTCTGGATCCATCACTGTGGGGAAAATCAAAGAAACGTTGATTTTAGGCAACCCTGAAACTAAAACTGTACATACCAAGTTGTGCGTATTTTTTACGGGACAAAGGTGGCAGAGGAACCTTCGTTAAGTCACGAAAATTGCCTTTGTTGTAGAGGTGGGCGAATCGATCCAAATATCTGTAGTATCGATAACAACGCTGGTATTGATATACCAGATACTAGTGCGCTATTTGTTTCTCTTCTAAGTTCAGTAAGTAGCCAAATGAATCTTGTAAAATCATGAACACATGCACAATGAAAAATGTCTGAACCTTTTTGTGTTAACCATCAAATCTGTTTTATTTATAACCAATAGCACATTTAAACAGAAGTTAACTCAAAGTGCTTTTAAGACAGACACATTTACATTGCAGGTCTCCAAAAATCCCAGTTGTACACGAAAAGCTAAAATGTGTCCCACACATGCTAAGTACCTGCTCTAAGTATTTAATAAATTTGTTTTGATATATGGTAGTCATAAGGATTTTTATATGATCCAGAATGAAGAGTTGAGTGTTTTAATGGTTGTAACATTCTTTCCATCTCATTATAATATCTTTTAAACATTACAGGTGCTACATTTTCACCTTAAGTAAAATAGGTCATCATATTTTGTGATATCTCATGTTTTTCTCCAAATATAAGTGTTGTAAAATCTAAAAAACACTCACCCTGTTCTCTGAGACATCAATTAAGGACTATTCATCATTTTATTAATGTCAGATAGACTATTTATACTTTATAAAGATATATGTATATTAGAATTTGTTTTATACACTTGATGTGAAGGAATTCTTGGCCCAGTTCAATTTTGACACAGACTATAGTATGAAAGCATATAAAATGAACAGTATTCAAGGGTTAAAAGTGGTCATATAGTTTAGAGTTAAGTTACCTTTTGTAACTAAAATACAGAATAAGGCTTAATTTAGTGTGTCTATTTGTGTCTGTCAGCTTATTGTTATTAATTCATCTGTTTTTTGCTCTTTCTCAATCAAGATCTGTGAAAAATCCTTAAGGGGTGATACCCTGTACAAGATACACCTGACCACCCCAGGACATATAAAGGTACTCAAGAAATCTACTTGTGTAGAAAGCTAAACATTAATAGTAATGCAGTCATTTAAAATGTATTCAAAAGTGATGTCATCATCGTTTTTGCATTATTCCATGTACTTTCTCTTTAGTCTCAGATTTCCACAGGTACCAGACGTCTGTGAGAAACAAGTTTTCCAAGCTGCTCACATCTTTTAATTTTTTTTTTTTTGTTTGAAGCCCACCTACAGTTTTCCCCTCCTGGTTTAATTCCTGGTTTTGCATCTGACAGCTCTTCTTATTTCAGTCTTGACAGTCGAACACATTGTTTCTTCTGAAGATTAAAAAAAAAAAATCATGTTACAGTAAGTACAAGAGTAGTGACAACAAAAGTTGACATGGGTTGCCTCTCTTCAGCCGTTGCCGTCAAGGGTTCAGTGAGTTTTGAGCTACAGAATCAACCAGGAAAGCTGGATGCTTTCCACCTTTGTGTTTGACTGCTATGAAGAAGCTGGATTGGCCATTTCAGAAGAGTACTGTGTCTCTCGCCATTGCAGTAAGTTTGTGCAAGGATGACAGGGTAATATTTAGTTCGATGATGTATAACAGAGTGTGAAAGCCTGCCTGGCTGTGTATTTCACACAGCATTCTTCTTCTCCTTCAGTCTGGGAAACAACTACAATTACTCTTGGAGCGAGCAACTGACAACCTGAAAATGGCAAGTTCTGAAGGAGTCTTGAAAAAGGCAGGCTTGGTTGGTTCTTTGGGTGAAGGGGTTTAAGGATTTCTGCAAAGAAAAGCCAGACATTTCTTCTCAACACTTTGCTCACCTCCCCAGATGCAGATGTTCTACTAAAACCAGGCCCCTACCACCATCTGCCTTTTTTAGTGGCCCCTTCACATCAATGCATCCTGAACTTTGCGGCAATAATGGACAGTTGTGTTTGTTTTAAAGGAGGAAAACAAACTTGTTTTTCTTTTTAATAGTGGCCACAGACTATGCTGACACAGTGGAGTTTCACAAAGGAAATGGTCTTGAACCATGTCATGTATGATGTGTCAGCTTCATAAGTCTTTGAACGTCTTCCTGTTAATGCCCAAGAAAATTTCAGGAACTTGTCTGCTGTGCCTTTGAGCCAGGTTCGGGTCTGTTCCACTAGGTAAAGTCATGTGAGCTTTCTTGGTTGTTCTTGTTCATTATGTTGGGAAGTGTGCCTTCCAAGACACACGTGCTGATTTAACAAGTGACTTGTTGTACAGTCAAGCCTGGAAGACAAACTGAATTAAAAAATACAAAACAAAAACAGTGCACTGTGGAGCCATGGCAACATTTCTTCAGCTTCTTACTTTCTCTTCGTTTGTTGATAGTGACAGTGTCGAGAGACAGGAAAGCGGGGAGAGAGCGAGATAGGGGAAGACATGCAGCAAAGGGCCGCGGGTGGGACTCAAACCCGGGCCTACTGCTCTCTGGCCATATGGCATATGGTCACCTGCTCATCTCGCTGAACTAAACTGGTGCCCTTCTCTTCCTGTCTTTACACTAGAGGAAGTCAGCCACTGTTTGGTTATTTGGGTAGCTATGTTTTGGCAGACCTTATTGCCAAGTGCAGAATCTGTGTAGCACATAAGCAGAAGTTGCTTGAACTGAGTTCCTGTCTTTTGGCTGTCTTCTAACCACTATCGCAAATCAGCTGCTAATTCTTGGATGGTGCTGGTTTGGCGTTCCGCTGAGGCGCAGACCTACTTAAAACTGGTTTTATTTTCTATGAGCCAGAAAAATGTATACGTAGGTATACATTTATACTTTCCTAGCAGCGCTGCCACCACCAACAACGACGACGACAACAAGTGCAAGGAGGCTACTCTGCAGACCTCTACAGCTTCAGTTTGACATCCGTACTGAAGCTTTTTGTAATGGTAAAGTTTTATTTGGACCTTGGTTTAGCCCCAGCAGTGTGCTGGCGCATTTCATTCCTATAAACAGTTCCTAGAAGGATCCCTCCAGATGTTTCAATAGAACTTTTGGTCATCCTGAAGAAAGCTACATCCTGCTTCTTTGCATTAATATATTCACATGCAGATATAACTCCCACCTCCCGCGGTGGGGGTTTAATTTATACAGTTGTGTGAAAAGTGACTGGAGTACAAACTCTTTAGTCCTTAACTGCTTTATCTCTTTATGATCTAACGCACACTAAGAAGACAGGTGTGGACAGGCACCTTTACTGCACCTCATTTGAGCTGTGGTTTTGGTTTTAATATGCGTTTGATTCCATAAAATAACTCCTTTTCTGTTTGTAGCAGAGGTGAACTACATCCAGTGTTGTTTATCCAGCACTGATTGACTTTATTTTTATTGTTCTCCTTTCGTTCCTGGCAGAAAGAGAGTGGCTTAGTAACTTCTGGTAAGTAGAATTCATCTTCCCTCTTTTATTATTTTTTTATTTTTTCATTCCTTCCCTGGCCATGTGTCTGTTCTGATGGGTAATTCAATGTACATGTGAATAGTGCCCATTCCGGTTTGAATGGGCAGCAGTTTTGTTTAGAAGTAAATGTATAAAGATACCCAGAAGTCAACGTGTAAGGACAAATAGTTTGTCCAGATTTTGTTTTTTCTTTGGTGGTTTGGCTTAGGCTCCTTAGATGCATCTCAGGTTATATCTGGACCACTGACACAAAGCCCCAAACTTAACATCAGTGATCAAATCGGTTAACATCGGCTGCAAGTCAGGACTTGTTTTTGAACATCAGTGTGTGTTCTCACTGATGATGTTGTGGCTTTTTTGTCTGCCAGTGTGTGTTCAGCCATTTTGTTTTCTTAATTTGGGTATGGAGAGTTAGAAATTTGAAGTTTATTTAAGAGATTTATACTTTTCATTTAGCACAGTGCAGTGATTTCATGTTTATTTTTGAAAATGAAATGGAAGTCTGTATGAGGAACTGGATTCACATCGACTCAGCTTTCTGCTCCAACAAATGTGGACTTTAAAATGGTCACATGGCTTCGATGTTTCCAAGTTGATATTCAGATAAGTTTTTCATTATGGCGTTGGGCCAGACCATCTTCAGAGCACCTTGATATTTGGTCCTATAGGACTGCAAGAACGTTTTCTTAGGTTTGCTGACTGTTGGACGTAGTACCCCCATTTTTCTGCATCCACACTCCTGGAACTCTGAATC